CTATAGGTGCGTTGGACACTCTCCCTAATATTATGTACTCTTGATATGCAGTACTAGAAGAAATTTTTAATCTTCAATGTCTCTCCTCTGTTGCTGGGTTTGTGTAAACGTTATTATTGTATTATTCAAAGTACATGTCATTTTACTTTGGTTATCACTATTCATGATTTCCAAAGATTGTATCTGGCCTCTGACATTACCTCTATTTAAATGAAATGAATAATATCAATTTATGATTCAACACAATTAATGACTTGACTTGCTTTTACAATATACATGTATTTTGCCTAAAAGGAAAGCTAAGCAGTGCAATGAAGTAAGCAATAAAGAAAATCTAAATGATTATAATAATTAAACAATAAAATTTCAAAGTACTCACAATTTTCAGAGCTCGAATATTGTTTAAAGAGAGCAGCTATGCTAGGGAGCACTTGTTGTGCAATATGCCACAACTTGGTGCATCCTCTGCAATCATCGCTGTAAAAATTCAACATTATCTTTAAAAAAGTAATAGATAATTACACAGATACAGGAACATAAAACATACATGTAAATTGACATAAAGAATACCAAGCAAGAGAATGTTTTTAAAAATAGGATTGTATCTACAAAATTAAAGTATAATAATTAGGGGTGTCTCCATTCACTGGACTGGAAGAGTGGACTGGACTACTGGACTCGAATACTAGACTCCATTTAGAGTTAAAAAATACACTTACCTACATGTATTTATTATCTATTTTAGCACAATTCAGTTTAACATGTCCATTTTTAAAATCATTGTAGTGGTTAACATAATGCAACAAAAAATCACTATAATTATTGTAGTCTAGCTCAAGCAAGAAAAAACAGGATGGACTCAGACCGACTGTTGAGTTTGACCCATGAGACTCTATTTCATCATCGCTATCGGCAACAACAATTGCAAGTTCTTTGGAAGAGCCAGCTGCCTAAATAACAGTAAATCATTACAGGTGCTTCAATTTTACATAACTACCTGCGCCATCCCTATGAGAAGAATATATAGAGTGAGTGACAACTGAAGTGAGGAACGTACCATAGCAAAGTACCGTAAAACCGTGAGTCTTCCGTGAGAAGTGAAAGATGCCACCATATATAGCTACTACTAATATACAGATGCCACATAAGGCACAAAACTGGAGACAAAGACAGCAAGAACAAATAAAAACCACTATAAAAAGTGAGGCACCGAAGGGCAAATGACTGAAATGAGTGCCAGTGACTGTCACGTTGACGTTGGGCGGCTGTAACTAAAATGGGCGTGGTTTTATAATAATCGTAATAATAATAATGTATTACTTTAAGTAATCAATGGCAGAAAAATTAGAGTCCAGTATTCCAGTACAGTAGTCCAGTCCACTCTTCCAGTCCAGTGAATGGAGACACCCAATAATTAGTCGATTTACTGGTAATGACATAAATTACAAGGGACTGCTTACTACTGTACATGATCTTACCTCATTATTGTGACCAAGTATTAAAGATGAATTTATCAATATTTTTCTGATCCATGTCAAAATCCTAAGAAAACAAGAAATTAAAATAAAAATGTAAAACCGTAATGTCTCTAAAAATTTGGCACTGAAATTTTGAGAAAAAAAATTAATTAGGAGAAATAGTACTTAAAGTAATCTAAACTTTGTCACGAAAAATATCCTTACCATATGTATTAATTTCATCAGGATTCTCTACATTCATCTTCAATGGCAATGAAGTGGCAGGTAAGCAGTGACTTGGCAGACTTTCATGACACTCACGCACCACCATGTAAATTCGTCGAAAAGAATTATTTTGGCTTAATTATTTCCGTTTGACATCTAAAATTTCCTTCTCAAAATTACCTGCCCCAAAACATTGATGACAAATTTTTAGACAAATTACAGAAACAGTACTCAATTATTTTTGCAAGACAATAACAGAGGCTTTTGGCCATTGCTTAAAACTTCCTACAAAATTAATAATTTCATATTATTAACAATTAAGCATTACGTATTGAACCTTAATACTGAAGTTTGATATAAAAAACTTTATGTAAATTTTTGATACTTCTAATTTTAGAAATTTAAAATGACCCTATAAAAGTAAAAAAAATTAGAAGATACCGTATAAGGATTATTTTATTGGTATAAATTGTTGAAAATCTTATCCTCTGCAGCCATTTATCCTAGTCCTTTTGTGGAATTTAATTTCTTGAATTTAATGAAAGCGCAAAATTAGCAAAATTCATTTCCAGAGAATTTTAACCCTTATACGGTATTGTCTGATAAAATGGAACTAACATCCTTAAACAAGAAGGTGCACTATATAAAACCATTCACGCAACGTCATGAAATTGTTTCCATTGATCACAGTATAAAAAGAGGTGCCCTAGGCACAATATGGCTGCCACATTTGAAAGTGACAAAATGGCTACCGCAAAGGCATGGCTGTTATCATGGTTCAATCAGTGGCATAACACACCAAAATAAAATAAAAATTTTTAAAGGCGAGGCCATAAACCCACAAGCACATGTAGACAGCATGGCCATGAGCAAAATGGTATAGTTTACTTGAAGTCAAAAAATTATCAAATTTTATATCTTCAAAATGTTTTCTCTCCTCAAGATTCATATCATATATTCTGAAGATGTGTCTGACAGCCTAACACAGGCTGTCAGTGAAGCTGTCAGGCAGGCTATACAGGCTAGTGGTGAACATGTAGCCCTCACCAGCACCACCACACAAAGAACAACTACCAGCAGCAGTCAGCCATCACTTTCAGCTAGTGGTTCCAGTACAAGACCCCTGGGTCTTTTCCCTCATCCACGTCCTATGACTGGCAGACCAAGCAGTGAAAATGTTCAACGGTCCACTGGGAGAAGTAAATTTAAAAATCTATAATTAAAAATATTTACTAAAAAATAAATAACAATAATTATTATTATCGGGCTGAATGGATACGGGGATGGTGACGAGCCTTCAGTACTTGTCGTGGACAATGCATGTCCGCACTGCCACCTGACGCCATGTGTCATTGAAAAACCACTGTCATGGCCAGTGGCGGATCTGGGTGCAAGTTAATGGTAGGGCCAGGAAGTGGGTGTGTCCACTTTTTAACCAGTTATTTTATGGTTATGCATCTTTTGGCCATTTTTATGATGGGTTTCAACAATTTCCTCATCTATGCTGTGCTTATAATGCTCTTCAAGCACTTGTAAGTACTCTGGTGTGGCTTGTGGTTTGCTTTATCAAAACTTGAGGCAGGGAATTGTTTACATTGCATCTAATGAATCTCATTACTGACTTCTGATGCCCGGGCCATGGCCCGTCTAGGCCCGGGCCCAGATCCGCCACTGGTCATGGCTCAAGGCAGTGCTGATCCCAGTCTCTCCAATGCCAATAAAAGGTACTCCCTATACCGGAAGTTCTGGTCACTACTGGCGAGGCTCCGAGTATGGGAGGAACCTCAGTATGTGGCACTCAAGGAGACCTTCACCTCCAGTGATGACAGGAGGGAGGTAATGCCTGTGTGCATTGTTACTGTAAGTCATAAAATGATATAAGTCTGACTCATAAATAATTATGTGTAATAGGAACTGAGAAGACGCTACCCCAATCTACCAGGTGTCCTGTACACAGACTTCCAGCCGTCCTAATAATAAAATTATTAATTAATTGTTAGTTTGATTTTAAAAGTGGCTTTTTCCATTATACATGTAATTCCTTTTCATAAATACGTCCAATCCTGTATAACTTGTGGGGCTGACAACCATCACCTACGTATCATAAGTGATGTACATATCAACAAAAATCTTATCTCAACACTTCAAAATTAAGAAAATGTAGCAAGAAACAATGAAATCAATAACAGTTGCAATTATACTTCAATAGTCTTCGTGTTCATCATTTAACTCAACTACCCCATTGCCATCCAGAAAAATGTCTTCATCATCTTCATCATCAAGAACCTCACATATTGACACTTCTTC